TAAACTTGAATAATAGAAAAATACTTTCTAATGAAGAGTTGTTCACAAGTTGCATGTTGAAACTTAGCATTTAATATATATTGAAGTAAAAACAAGTTCATCTATTTATTTTCAGGTGTGAAACATGGGCCAAATTTTGCTTTCCAAGTGATGAGTGGCATTCTAAGGATTTCCAAAAAAAAATATATGCTGAACACAGAATGTTGTGCTATAAACATTTTAGGGATTCTGCATTTATTGATTATGATAAAAAAAAACTTAATAGAAATGCCATTCCTGAAGTTGAAATCTCTAAGGTAATTACATTACTATTTGTTTTTTGGTACTGCATAATTTTGTAAAGGCACCCAAAATTATAAGCAAATCTATATTTATTATCTGTAAAATACAAAAAAATGCATATTATATTGTCAATGATATATGCCAATTCTAAATTTTTTGTCACTGTTGTCACTGTTTATTTATAACTATTTTTTACAACAGCAGACTTTACCGACTGTTACCACACCACACAGGCTACGAGTTTGCCTCCCCAGTATTCATCGTCTGACACTTTAATGGATGATCCAAATACTAATAAAAAGGAATTTGAGGTAAACAATAGTTCTTCAATAAATTTATGGCATAATTTTGCCACAAGCAATTCTCTATTTAATTTATGTGTGTATTATCTACTATATCTTTTCAGAGAGTCCTGGAACCCATCCCAGGCCCATCAAAATGTAATGTGATAGAAGTTCAACCAGGGCCATCACATGTACTTATGGACATTACAAATGTTAAACCAGCTGCAAAGGTACACAAATATTTTAACTAATCATAACTTTTTTGAAAAGACACTTGATACAACATTAACCATATATAATAGCATAATTAAAAATGCATCATAACCACTGTCACTTTATTTGTGCAGAAATGTACAATCATGCCAAAGGTGTATGGTAAAAGAATTTCAAAAATATTAGTATATTTTTTTAATTTCTATGTACCACCAGTATTAGACACTCAAGTACAAATTTTTAAGGCAATATTGTATCTAGGTTTTTTTAATCTCAGAATCATAAATATAAAACTCTCAATGGTGTGTCAAATTGATGATAGTTTGATTTCTACATTATTTTTCCAGAGAGTTCCTGAACCTATCCCAGGCCCATCAAAATGTGATGTGATAGAAGTTCAACCAGGGCCATCACACATACTTATGGACATTACAAATGTTAAACCAGCTGCTAAGGGGGCGTCCATAAATTACGTGAGGTGTTTTTTCAAATTTTCTGACCCTCCCTCCCCCCCTGGTGAGATGTCGTGAGATTTTATTCAATCCCCTCCCCCATCCCCAAATCTCACGTGAGATTTTTCAAAATGTGGGTTTCTTATTTAAACACGTTGGATTTTTTTAATAAAAAGAAAAAAATAATTCGCTTCGTACTTTTATTTACGACTAGTTAGAGACTAGTAATCAATATTGCTCTCATTCATCGAGTCACACGTTCACCAGACAGTGGCGGGAAAACAAATGACGGGCTACATTGTACCGTAAATTCAAATTAAATTGAGCTATTTGGTATAAAACGAGTATAGTGGTTTGACAATCAGGAGTGATGTATAATGTCAAAGTACGAATGAAATTATTTTCTTTCCAACGAATTAGTGAATGATCTTAACCTTAGACTTGTCACTCTATGAGGGATTCCCCGCACCGAGCCTTATTTTAAAAATTGCGTGATATTTGCCGAGACCCCCCCTCTCTCCAACGTGAGATTAGATGAGATTTGACTCGACCCCCTCCCCCCCTTAAACATCTCACGTAATTTATGGATGCCCCCTAAGGTACACAAATATTGTATTTTATTAAGTAATTATAAAGATAATATTAAAATGTGTTAAATTAGTGATACTATGCTGGATTATCTACTTATTATCAAGTGAAATAAACAAATTCGAAATGCTATTTTATAACTACCTAATCTATTTTTTTTTCAGTCTGTGCTTAGTCCTCGTTGCAGTCAAGTAATTTCTCAAAGAGAAAAAGCACTGTATTATAAGTGTAGACTCTATGTTAAAAGAATCTGGAAACTGAAGAAAACTTTTAAGAACAAAAATAAACTGGATAATTTAAATTCCTTACATGAAACCAGTTCTTATCCAAAATTTATAAAAAAATTAAAACCATCATTTGCAATACTCTTGCAATCACAATTAAAAAATGTGCGAAGAAAGACAAAAGGAAGACGAAGGACTTTAGTTTATAAAAGGTCTCCTATGTGTTATCGCCTTTTAAGAAGTATGTGGTGCTTACCTGCCCCAGCAACCCTAAAATCTTTGTTGGGTAAATTCAATTTAAATATTGGGATTAATGAAAAAAATCCTTAATAGTTTAGAGGAATATGTGAAATGTTTGCAGTCTTCTGACAATGAGTTTGTATTAATGTTTGATGAGATGTCCCTCAAAAAACACCTGGAATATAACTCTAAACTGGATATTATAGAGGGATACCAGGACCATGGATCTCAACATGGAAGGTCTGAACAAGAAGCCACACATGCTTTAGTATTTATGGTGGCTGGAATCAGAAAAAAAGTAAAACAATCAATTGCTTTTTATTTTTCAAGTTCATATGTTACTGCAGACAGACTAGCAGTTCTTATAAAACAGGTAATATTATTTATTTGTATTGGAATAACTGATACAGTATCCTAAGTGATATCATTTATTGTTACAGCATATTTTTTTCTGAGTATAATATTCAATAGATTACATGCAATTATATTTTTATTGGATTAGTTAAGTCATTCTAATTAATATTGCAGGTTTTACAAGCATGTTTCAATATTGGCCTTTGTATATCAGCAACGGTATGTGACATGGATGGAGTTAATAGGAGAGCTCTAAGTGTCCTGGGTGCAACCAAAGAAAACCCATATTTTAGCATACTAAATAATGAGGTGGTTACACTATTTGATCCGCCACACTTGCTCAAATGTTTCAGGAACCTTTTTATGAAATATGATATAAAGTGTAGCACAGATATAAAATCCAACAACCAGACAGGTCAAGGTACTTATTAAAATTATTATTTTTTCATTATGAAAAACCATTAAAATTTCCAAATTCATTTTACAAATATTTCCAAGTAAACAATTAATTTTTAACCAAAATAGAAAAGGTATGTCCTTTAAATAGTTTTCAATGTTACAGGTCTGGCAAAATGGAGCCACATAAAAAATTTCTTTGATATTGATAATGAAAATGTAAATTTTGTTTTTGCACCTACCTTGCGAAAACAGCATTTAAATCCCAATATGAAAGAAAAAATGAGAGTCAAATTAGCTGCACAAGTTTTAAGCCACTCTGTTGCAGCAGGCATGTTTGCCAAAATATCTGAAGGTAACAAATATCACCAATATGTCAAATTTCCACTATTTATTATTTATTTATTGTGTAACTTAATGTGCTGTTGATATAATTTACCACAAATTCTTTTATTTTTATTTTTCTTTGCATTTTTTTTTAATTTGTTACTCTATAAATAATACTACAAATTAAGTACAATATGTAGTGCAATGAGAATCAATTTATTTGGTATAATTACATGCATAATATTGTTGAATTGAAGCAAAAAAGTTATAGAAATGGCATAGGTAATGGCTTTTGATGTTATAAAAAATAATGTATTGATATTTTTCAGGACATTTGCCATCAGATGCATCCGTCACAGCAGATCTAATTGCAAACATGGACAAACTATTTGACTGTCTAAATAGCGAGAGCCCTAATTTACGACGAGGAAAGCCATATGCTACAAATTTAAGTGAAAAATCACCCCATCTCAATTTCTTTTTCACCATGAGGAAGTTATTTGCAAATTTAGAATATGTGGGTTGCCCACGAACACCACCATCACAGCCGGGTTGGATATGGTCGTTGAATGCTATAGAACGATTATGGAGAAATTTGACATTAAAACACAGCGTCATTAAATCGTTAGCGACACGTAGACTTCAACAAGATCCCCTCGAAAATTTATTTGGATGCATTAGGGGCAATTGTGGAGCAAATAGTAATCCGACTGTTGGACAATTCATTGCAGCTTTAAAAACAGTGATCATGTCCAACCTTGCTCACTTGGTACATGGCAATTGCGAGCAGGATAAAAATGTACTAATTTTAGATAATTTTAAAAGACTTCTTGTATACACACAATACCCAGCTGAAGATGCTACCTCAGAATTCCAGAGAGAAACATATTGCACACCACTTGTAACAGATGAAAATATTTCTTTAGTAGATTCTGCTGAACTACAAGCTTGTGCATATGTTTGTGGGTTCCTCTTGAAGCGTAAAAGAGGGGAATGTAAAAATTGCGAACTCTTCATGTTAAATACAGATAAAGATTATGGGGAAATCATATATAACTTTATGGAGTTTAAAGAATATAGCGATTTTAAAAAATCGCTTATATATACTTCAAAGGAACTCATAAAATGTGAGGAATGTTGTGCTACAATGATTAATAATTTTTTGCGTGCAAGAGGCCACATAATTAACATAAAAAAGAGTATTTTGGAGTATTGTTATGAAAATATAAATTTTTCATTCATCACTTGTCATCGCAATGAAAATGTTGATTTTATTTTAAATAATGTATTTCATATTTGTGTAAAGAGATATTGCAATTTAAAAAATAGAGAATTTCATGATGCTTTTTCCTCGACTCTGTTAAATAAGAAAATGAACATAATAAAACATAAATAACATGCTGTCTTTTTATAGCCTCCTATAAAATAATAGGCGATTATTTTTATTATTTTACCAATCTATTCTTCTAGGTCCTATTTTCCGTTAAATTTTATTCCTCCCTATGCAAAGAAAATTGAAAATTCAAATGCAATAGCATTTGCGGCTATTGCGTTTGAATTTTCAGTTTTCGCTTCTGATAAATATTTCTCTAATATGGATTTTGAATTAACCCGCCATTAAGCTTATTGGGGATTACTACAGATGGCGCTGCAGTCGTGTTTTGTCGCCTTATATTTTCTATGAAGTTAGTATTCTTCTCCTTGGAGTAAAAGTGTTCTGTGGTTTGCTCTTTGGATGAGATTGAAATGTTAGCGGTTGTAACTAACCTCACTTTGATTATAAATAAAGTGTATTCCCAAAGAAAATGTAGCCATATAAAACTTTTTGCTAGAAAACACTCTTATAAAGTTCTCTTCTTTGGATCTGACTCAATAGCATTGAAGAGTTTACAAAAAGTAAATGAGTTCAGGTACCTGTTTCATGATTATCATATTTTTAAGTTAGTTTCCTAGGAATTCCTTATTTCAAAATATTTACACTTCTATATATAGTATTATAGTATTATTTATTTTCAGAAAATCCGAAAATATTATAAAACGCTTGGACTTTGTGACTTCCAACAATACCAAGACAAAATCAGAAATCGAAAAATATGCACTCGCAGAAGGGATCGGTGTCAGAACTTGGCCATTACAAAAAATTGCCACTTCAGAATACGACATTGGGCTTATCGTTGCTTTTGGTCACTTAATCAAAGACAATATTCTTAATAAATTTCCCTTGTGAGTTATTACATACACTATATTAGTAACAGTTTATCTGAATGAATTAAGAGAATACTTATCCAACAGCTTTATACCAAAGTATTATGATATTAAGATTTTATATGAACTCAGTTTTAAATTATGCAGTCCCACATATTGTTACAAAAGAGATATTGTTTCCTGAAATATCCAGGTGTATAGCTCATTAGTTTTTAGGATATGATATCTAAAATGCTCCTAATAATATAGTTACACAGTAGTATTATAGGTAAAAGTGCTAAAATCCAAAGCCAAATATTTTAAATTGATTTTAAGACTACACTTACTAGCTTTCTAAACTACTCTAAAATTTCCTGCTTAGAACAATGTTGTACAATTGTTACTGGGGTACTCCAGTAATCTTGAGAATATTGGTGTAATGTTGGTGTTGGAACAATTGCAGTTGTACAAACTGTTAAGTTGTAATGATACCTTTAAGCTCTAATATTTTTTTAAATTTGTAGGTATATGTAATATTATTTTAAACTGATAAAATCATTAAGACATTTGTGCAATGGCGATAAGTCTGTCATAAATCTTGTATGATGAGTAAGTAAAAGGTTTTTACAAGGGCTTAAGATTTTTTAAGTTGTTGATTTGCATCAACTACAAAAGGATGATCCTACATAATTATTATATACCTTTATTAAGTATACATCACTTTCAGAGGAATTATTAATGTACACCCAAGTCTTCTTCCTCGATGGCGTGGTGCAGCCCCAATCATCCATACTCTGCTTCATGGGGATCAACAGACAGGAGTTTCTCTAATGAGAATAAAAGCCAATGTATTTGATGTAGGTAAGTATTTCTATAGTGAATAAAATATTATGTTACATATATGAATTTTTAGAGAATATATATTTTAGGTGAAATTATAAGCCAGAGAAAGATTGCTGTTTCAAAAGACATTAAATTACCAGAATTGACTGAACAATTATCAGATATTGGAGCAGATATGTTGGTGGAATGTATCAGACTATTACCAGACAGCCTAGTCAAAGCACAACCTCAAAGTAATTATGGTGTTACTTATGGTAAGATATATATAATTATTTAATGTAAACATAAGAGTTATTGTATTGCTTTAACAGGTACTACTTCCTTTAAATTGCTATTTACAAAAACATACTTTAAAATTTTGTTATATATGTAAATAAATATTGATTGTTTCAGCCAGAAAAATTAATAAATCTATAAGTGAAGTCAGATGGACAGAAATGAAAGCAACAGATGTTTACAATTTATATAGAGCAGTTTATGGTTTGTATCCACTGTCGTCAAAATTTAGAGATAAAACGGTGAAGTTGTTTGGTGCCTTTTTGGATCATACAGAAGAAATAGAAAAAAGCCATTTACCAATAGGGACTTTAAAATATTGCCACAAAGTGAATGCCATCAAAGTGTTGTGTAAAGATATGAAATATATTTGTTTTAAATCAATAAGAATTGTAGGTAAAAGAGAAATATCAGCATTAGATTTTTATAATGGTTATATTAAAAATGCATTAGGGGAAAAAAGATGTACCCTAGCCTGTTGAATAAATAAATTATTAAATAATAAATGAGGTCTTTAAATAAATAAACATTTGGATATAGATACATAAATAGAACATTTATTCAATAAAATTGTAAATCATAAATTACTGCATGTCAGTACATAAATAAATAAAACAAAACATTCATATAATTCAATTTTAGGGTATTGCACCCTAACACTTGTTCCATTTATGGGGAATACTTAAAATGTAATAGGTGGACTAATCACACTAGTGCGTTAGAATACTTAATTTCTTCCAATCACAATCAATCAAAAAAAGAAAATGTTAGCAAATTTCTACAAACAGTATCCAGTACACTCTGAGAAAACAAATTGAAGCAATGCTATTCTTTTAATTTAAAAGAATTTTTTAACTTGTCCTTCTTGAGGATCTCAATTACAGACAGACTGATTAAACTAATTCACTCTCAATTTACAAGCACACTTTGTACACTTTTCATAAATTTAGCACTTTTATCATAAACTCCTGTATGATAAGCAAAGATATTTTAAATGCTGACTTTCACCCTGTAAGCAAAATAATATTTATTATATAACAAAATATTTTTTTAATTAATTTTGAAAAGTTTGATGTCATCCGAAATAAATCTTACGAATATAGTTGTTTATATTTAACACTACTAATCATAATTTTATTATTATGGCTAATAAATAAATGTAGCTTCTTTAGTAGTCCCGCAGGTCCACTGTGTAACTCGATTGGCTTCGATTTGGTTGGCATCAATTTGAATTAAAAGTACTTAACGTTCAATACAATGGAGGTACCTAGAAAGCTGTGTATCACGTGTACAAGAAGCTTTATCAGCTGCTATATCAACCCACTATAATGTTGAGTGCATTTGATTCAATCCTATACTTAAAATCAAAACCAATCTAATTACGCAGTAGGGCAGCTGATGATAAAATGTCACTATAATATCAAAAAGTTATCTATCTCCATAACTATAGAGCATGGCAATTTGTCAATATTTCATCAATCACTGACTGATAAATTCGGGACCCGAATAAGTAGGTAAAGAATTCATTTCAAAATTCAAGAGGGCAGCGCTGCTGAAATGACGTCCGTCATTCCTATAGATTAGCTTTACTGTAAAAGAAATGTACGCGAATTTGTTCAGACTGGCTACTTCCTGTACCGTCACCTTAAATACATATACATTACCAACAAATCAACGGTTATTCAATACTCTAATTCTTCGCGTTCACACTGAATGTGCGGTCACTAATGCTAACGCGCGGTGGCCGCAGTGTAAGAAGCTAGTCTGTGATCTCGGGCATTACAAACTAGGGGTCATCCATAAATTACGTCACACTTTAGTTGGGGGGGGGGGGTCGACGAACTGTGACATTAGAACAATATTTAGTAGAATTTGTATAGATAAATAGGTGACAGGAGGGGGGGGGTGTTAAAAAAACCTGAATTTTGTGTGACGTAATTTATGGACGGCCCCCTACAGACAAACGTTGGCTGGTTTATATTGAATCGCACATATAGATACTTCATTGATCAATATTATTAAAAAAGAAATAAATATTTTTCCCATCCCACCATATCGCTACCCACCCAGTACAAAAATAAGCAGTACACTGCTGAAAACGATACAGGCAGAGGTTGTGGATAGTGACACGAATCCGTTTACTTTCAAAGGTCACATAAAATTGGGTCCTTGTCAGTATTTTTAATAAAAAAAATTACCTGACCGACTACACGACTACAGATTACCATCATTATATCTGGTAATTTATTTATAGCACACTGTACAAAACATAGAATTAGGAAGACATGTTATTAACAAAAATGATAAACGATTTAAAAATGATCCTTATATTCAATAAATACTTAATATAAATGTAGTACGGTAATAACAAGCAAAACTTATGATATCCCATACACCTGCGGTCAGTGGCAAGCGTTTTATATATTTAATCATTTTGTCCATAATAAAATATGCTTGTCCATAAAGCGTCATTTACCGCTATTTAAATTTAAATTACCAAACCATAAATATGTAAATGTGGAAAATTTAGATAATTCTGCTTGTCACTGGCCACCAGTGCCTATAGACGATGGCTTTTTATATAATCTAAAAACAGAAGCCTAAATATTTAATCTTACCTCCTTTTAATATTAGCTTATACAGCAATGTGATTTTCTAACTATCCTTAGCCTGAAAAAAATAAACCTAATATATACGCCAATTCATGTTGTAAATTAAGGCTTCTGTTTTCAAAAACTGTTTTAGGGTAATAAGACGGTTCAACGACACTATTTTTTAACTTAATGAATAATGACTCGATAGTTAATTTCATTTTTTAGACATGGCAGACCATATACATATTAAAATTTAACAAGGTAAAAAAACATGGCACAAATGTATGTTAGGAATGCGGAAAATCGATGAGTTTATTTTTTTCCTTTTAGTTTAGATATGCATTTAATATAAATAGTTACCAGATAGGTACACTCTATTAGAAAATATAACGATGGTGTATTCTAACTCCGCTTATAATGTTGCATTATATATAAATACTCATGGCTTTCCCCATGAATATATTTAGGTACGTTGTAATCTAAAAACCTTATTTATCTCTAAAATGGGACTTAATTTAGACTAGAAGAAGGCTATATCGTATTTTTACTACATAATTACAAGCTACAATGTCGATAATCAGTAACACAACACATAACGTCAATCAATCGTGCGGTTGATGTTATCAATATTATTTTCGGACCGTGTACAATGGTAAGCTACGCAGATTGTAGCTACAAGAATTGAACTCGAATCTTATTTTAGTACTTTTACTAATGACGTCTATAACAAAATTTTGTATTTACAATTTGTTTCCTCAAATGTATATTTGTATGTGTATTAACATACTACTTGCAAAAAGTTTCATGTTAATATTTACAGTTCCATTGTACACGTTTCAAAGTGCCATTTATCAAGATAATGATAGTATGGATTAGGTTTTTTTAATCATTTCAATGCTCAACATTAATATAAACGGTTATACCAGTAAGCCACTTATTTATAGACATTTTAATTAAATAAAAAATGTTTATTTTAGATAATTACTTACCAAATAATTTAATAAAAAGAGATATTTTCAAGATTTTTTAATATTCATAAGATTCGTCATATAAATATGTGGCTTATAAGTGCAGAGATTATGCAATAGTGCAGACAGGAATGCGACAGACTCGAGTTGATGGAACACTGTTGAAGCACTTCACTCGGGTCACAGAGAACATTTGGGCGCTGGCCATTTCCTAGAATATTAGTGAAACATTAATACTACATACTACTGGTGGATGGGCGTTATTTTTGTATACTACCGTACGAGCTGTTGCATACCAATGATGGTTTCAGATAGCAATGATGCTATATCATTAAAACAGTTGCACAATTTTATGAAAGTGACACTTCTCAAGTCGACGAAAAATAGTAACCTTTAAACTTATGATCAATAAATAGATAAAACGAATTCTCAAATATATCGATAATCGAGGATCTGTTTGTAGACTTGTTATCTATTTCCACTAATATAACATTTGCGAAAATGGTCATTTTGTTTTGCGATAACTTTAGCATAAAGTGATCAATATACAACATGATCAGATGTAAAACAAAGACAGCCGTTCCCGTAAAAATGAGCTTTATTTATAATAAACATGTAAGAAATAAAAAGTACAACACCACACAAAGTAAACATGCATATCAAATAACAAACAATAAAAATATAACAGACAACAATACAATAAAACAAACATTAACATGTTAGTTGGATTTTTGCATAGATTATAATATATACATTTTCGTTGTAGCTTTTAGTAAATGCTAATATTCTTTGGAGCGAATCTGTAAAATTTAATTGATATACATTAAAGATTATATATAAACAAAGGATAGTTTAAAACAAGACGTTAAAATTAGGTAAAGTGGTGCAAAATACAATACGATTTTTCTAAAGTTATTTTATTAAGAGCGAAATATTAAAAATATTAGTTAAGTAAGTGTATAGATAAAATCGCTAAAACAAAACATGACTATTGTTATCTTAGAATATAGTTAATTTACATATTTAAAGATATATAAATAATATATTTATACTTAATTCTAGGTTGGACTCGACAACATCAATAAAAGTTATCTCAACAACCACTTGAATATTTTCATTTACAATAGCCTGAGATAACAACTATTGTTGGCGAAATTTGTTAGTCTTTATGACAGTTAATTCATCAACAAATAAACTACTACTATCACCTATAAAATATTAGCAACAACTAGTAATAATTCAACAGCAGGTGTCAGTAACGTACGCGAATAACAGTATTACATGCTTTAAACTTATCATTACACTATGAATAGCATGACTGCATATTATAATTAAAATGTATAATTTTACTCTTATTATTTAAAACAATTTGTCTTTTTGGTACACAGCCACTCCATATAAATGATTTAATTAATAATATATAATAAATACTCCGTCAAAAGTAATATTATTAGAATACCTGGGGTTATTGAATATGAAATATTTACATTAAAATTTGTCAGGTCAATTTCAGTCACATATGCCATTTGAAATGCCTTATTATTCTGCTTATTTAATATTTTAAAGTCAATTATATCAATTATCAAACTGTACATTCAAAATATTTCTATGAAAAATGGTGTAATCTCAAAATACAAAATAAAATCCCAAACAGTATAAAAAAGTCTATTCTACTATGAGTAACAACGGTTTTGTAGAGAGTATATAGCAACCCATATCCCTTTATCATTACAAGTGCAGTCATGTATTCATACTCATTAGATACGTATAGATATCACTATCTAAGTACTAGCACCCTGTAAAATAAACATACATATGGTATTTGTTATGTACATGTTATCGCACTAATCTACGTAAGTAAATAGGCTCAAGTTCTAATGTAAGCTATGACGGCTGAAAGCATATGCAAGCAAGTCTTACATGTGCTCGGGGTGGCTACGGATGCAGTCTATGAAGTCGTTCGGTTTGAGTTCACCTCGACAAATACGGTACACAGCAGTGAATAACGGGAACCTGCAAAAAAACATATTTAAGTTATTAATAAATGTTCAACGTTCAAAACTTAATAAGGCACAGCAGATATAGAGATTCGTGATTATTATTAAAAAAAATCAACACTAATTTATTCATCAAAATTTTTAATATTCCTACAAACAATACAACAAAAAAGTTAAAGCAAACTGAATAGTAAACTTCAATTAATTAATCCAAGGTTTCCCAACTTTCTCCGCTAGCGGCGTACCTATTCTCAATTTTTATTTTGTCCCGACAGTTAGTTTAAGACTTTTCAACGCCGCGTGTAAAGTTTGTATCCTTAAATTAATCAAATTATCTTTATTATACCATCTCCGTTTCATAGTCTATGAAAGACAGCTATGCTGTATGTACACAGATAGGTATAAATATAGATACATGTTAACATCACATAAACTATGACTCGAGGCATACATACACCTTCGTTTTCGTCACTAAAACATTTGTTTGAAGCTAAATGTATTCAATTGTTCGACATTGGACTTACAATCACTGACTAGGGCCCCTCCACCACCTAGAGATAGTTGTGGAATATATTATTTTGACTCAAGGAATGCGCAACACACTTTCTATATGCATACCTATTAAATAACCTATATAAAATTTATAGAAGGTTTAATTAATATCTCAATAATTTTAATGGAAATATTTAATCTAAATAATGGGTTTAAGACACAACTTCCTTATATTATTCCAGGAATAAAAAACATAAATATATGATTGACCCTAGATTATACGCAAAGCGTTGTAATACCAATTTACTGTGCATAATGACCTCTGTAATACGTGGATACTGGCCAAGATAATCTATTTTAGTGTACTCACAATTAAATAATAGTGGAAATAAAACAGATGTAGCGTGTACCTTGTATGCACCGTGTACGATAAATCTCATAATAGATTCAACAATAAATACATGCGTTAAAAATGACTTTAACACAGTGTTCCCAAAGTATCTATATAAGGTATCCACGTATATTTACGTATATTTTCTAATATTTTTTTTATCAAATAATATAGCTGGACTTCGTAACACAATTTTCCACTAGAGAATCTTAGCGTTACTGATATTTATGCATTCTCTATCTATAGAAATCTCGTAATTAGGTCCTAAGATTGGCAAGTTCTGTTAGATGGGTCAGAGCCCAATCAATTTAAGAATCACTAATTTAACAGGAATTAACAAAAATTGAACATGTACAAAATAAATTATAATTAAAAAAAGAGTAATATATCTTGGGCTAACACAGGGAACTTTTATAACTTTCTCACCAAACACTTATGTACTAAGATATTTAAGATATCCAATTTCTTCTCATAAATATATTTTCTTTTGTAGATAAAATTAATATAATTTTATACAGGAACGATTTAAAAGAGTTAACGTAATGGTTTCTTAAACAAGATAAATTAAAATGTGTTAATTCGGGCTATAGGCTATCATCTGTCTTATTGATTAACCTCGTGATTTCGTCTTGTTCACTATTCTTATGCACCGTCTCAATTAAGCCTCGATGGGCTTGTTGAGACCAAATAAAATATTATACAAACTAAAAAAAAAAATATTAGACGACTAGTACTGCGATTGAAAATCTGTTTTTATCTGTATATGAAAATAATTATTATCAGGAACAATTTGATTGCTTGTTTACATGAAATAGGCTCTGAAACAACTAATTTTAAAAATATCTTAGTTCTTTCACCTAAGGGAAGGTACTTTATATGCGATGGTCATAGACTATATTTTATCCCGATAAACAGGCAACTAAAGGATTGAAATAGGGATGACGACTGTGTAAAATGCAATTGTGTAATTGCAATTCTATTTAGTCCGTCAGTCAGATAATAGAAGAATAGTAGATACGTATTTTTTTTACTTCAATTTAACAAGAAATAGCTTAGATAACAGGCATTGAAGTTGAGGAGTGGGGGCTCGCTACGTCACAGTTTAGTAGAAAACGTACCATAACGTGACGTCATGCGAAATTTTAACTCTATGTAACGCCGTAATGTTATGATTACGAAAAAATAAAAAAATACGTCTTTAATATCTTTTAACACTCTACCTGACGGACAAACAAAAAATAGTCGTCATCCCTATTGGTAATGGAAGTTTGTATAGGGAATTAAAACGTTACAAAAGTAACCATTGTTTACTATTAAATTTTTCATTATAATTATATCCCTTTTATTTAATAATAATTCTTAAGTCATTTATCCGTATAAGTTTTTTCAATGGGCGTCCGTTAAAATATCAGTTTCGGTTTTAAAATCCATTGCAGTATGTAGTAAGGGAAAGGAAGACAAAACGGACCCTGTGGGCACAACGGTCCACTTAAAAAAAATCGAAACTAGTAACGCCAACTAGGAATTGGTTGCGTCATAATATTGGTCGCCATGTTCCCGCTCTCGGTCAGTGTACACAAATCCACCGACTGCGCGTTCACAGATTTATCAAAGTAAGTCATTTTTTTAACGTTTTGATATAAATCGATATTACCAAACGTGGATTGCCATTTCATTAAACGATAACACTTAAACGATATGATCAATTTTAGGTGACCGTTTCATGAAATGATCAATTCTACGATATGGCTACGACATATCCACTATGAATCCACTAACTTGTTCTCCATGTTTTTGTTGGTCAGCATATGGTTCACTTCTTCTGCGGTAATAGGTCCCTGTAACTTCTGTCCATTGAGCATTTCATCTTCCAATTCTTTGATAGAACGGCCGGTCTTCACGAACGCCTCAGCAACGCGCCTGTTCCTGCCGCCTGTAACGCGTCATTTTAATTTAAACGGAAAATACTACATAGTATAAAACAAAGTCGCTTTCCGTCTGCCACAATGTATACTTAGATTCAGTTTTTGATGCAGTTTTTTTTAATAGATGAAGTGAATCAAAATTAAGATTTTCACATATAAGGACCATGCGAGCAAAACCGCCACCGTAAAGTTAGTTCATAATTTGTAAAAAATGGAATAGCTTTAGATTAAATATTGTATTTAACACGCGCTTGTTATATAAAAAAGTGAGTACATGTTGCTAATATACAATATTTCTTGATTGTATTTCCTATTCCTTGTGCGGAAGCAATAGTGTAGTGGTTTTTTACTTCGATTATTCTCCTGTAAAATAACGCTCAACACTGAAGTAAAAACATTTCATTTTAGAAAATAATGAGTAGGTAGTTGCTATTGAAACGGCTTATCACCGTATTTCTTTGTATTACATAAAGGTTTGTAACGGTACAAGGTCTCTTCAATGTCACGGTTTCTACAAAACTTGAGCAAGTTACAACATTTAATTTATCAAAAACACATATCTTTATAGGTATAGGTCAATAAATGATTAAAGAAAAATAGAAAATACTGCATTGAATAACGTTATATTAAATGTATGATGTATCCAAAACAAGTTTGTTTTTAATAAAGGGTTTTACTGTTTATCCATAAGTAAAAACGAGTCCAACATTATTAACATTTGGTTCGAGTAGCTCTCGTGGTTATCTAATCTCCAACGATTATATTGTTGGTAAACGTTGACCGGTCGGCGGGTAACTGGGCTAAATATATATTTACGAGTGTTTTGACACATAACAACATATAGATATTATCAATTTCACTAAAAATTATCGACAGAACGTCAAGATTTCAATCTTTGAGTCAACAGAGTGAGCTAATGATTTAAATCGGTTGACGTTACCCCCCTCCCTCCCCCCATATCTTACCATAACACGTTGTAACAAGGTCTGCAACGCCACATGATTCGAAGAAAGTACTCAGTTTGCTCCCAGGGTAAAAAACGTCTACGAATTTGATCATTTCCATAAGACCAAGACGGATCACTGCCGCCTTAGTGTTGTCACCGAACCCGAGTCCATCAACGAAACCAGCTCCCACTGCTACAATGTTCTAAACACATACATACTTGCATATACCTTTTATGTTTATCCAAGGGTAAGCCATACTAATATTCTAAAGAAAAAAAAAATGTATGTCACAATAGAAGGTTATGATAATTATTATTTGTGTATTTACTTAAACTGAAATTTAATTAAATACTACACACACTACACACTATACAACGAATATTACATTAAAATTCTAACTTAAAAATACATACACAAATCAATCTGTTCAAAGTTTCAGAATCTAATCCATAGATTTTACTAACTCATTATAAAATGAATTAATTTGTATTGTATTTTATAATAATATATGACATAAATAATAATACTTCAATAAAACAGTAAGAAGTTGTAAGACATGTAATTTTTACATCACATGCCAAGATTGTGGTTACCATAGATATTTAAGATATTAAACAGTTCTGAATAATACAAAAAGAAATTGGCCCATTGAAACTGTCTACTACTTGTCTATGAGATTCAGCCTGGTGAGACAGACGGACGAACATGTGAGTCTTTGTAATAAAATCCCCATTTTACCCTTTGAGGATGCAACCCAGCGACACTGATTGATTGGTTGGGACTTAGATTGATAATAGTTGGAGTTTCTGTTGTGACTTCTGCATCAGTGTCAATAGAAAGACTCAGTATTGAAACATGCTGCAAAAGCTGATAACCATCATACATGTTTTTTATAATAACTCAATACACTTGGTAGCGATTGGCAGTAATGCGGAGGCAATTATTATATAGATAACTTCTTATCTATGCTCTAGGGCCAGTTCATTGATCGCTTGTACAGCTTTGTTGTTTTTACTAAAACCAATAAGTCTCAATGATTGTTTAAATCTTTATTTGTTTACTTTTAAGAGCATTATAATTAAAATATTGTACATTATTTTGTTGGCTTAAACGCAATATCATTTAATATTAATTCATAGATAATAATTTAGCACGTACTTTAAGTAAAACTTCAAAATATGTGAAATGTGTGAATTAAAAATTTGGTATGTATGGTACCTACGACTTACATATATTTGAAATTTATTAACATAAAATATTAATAATTTTAAAGCAAGTTGTTTTACCTTGAGCGCCCCACATATCTCGACAGCATCTTCATCATCAACAACGACCACCCTAAAGTAATCAGTTTGTATGATATCTCTCATCATCGGGGCAAGCATCACATCACGACAACCAATAGTGGTTTCACAAAATTTTTCGTCTGCTACCTAAAACAAGACATGGAGATTCCAAATAATTTTATTTCAACTTGCATTGGCTTTATTACATACACTCGCGCGTCTTATAATATGAAATGCTACAGATTCCAACTATGGGAAAGTCATGTAGATAAAATATAATAAATATGTATTGGATACATAGCAAGCAACTATGAATAAAATGTAGGACGTTTTGGTAACGATTTAATTTTTGGGACATAAACAAGGTACTATATACATATTTTATAAACAATTTCTTGATTGTATATATATATTATGTAGTCTTAAATGTCTTATCATCTCTTTTAATCTAATTTACTTTACTGAAATCAATATCTTTTTCATTATTTGTTTCGATGTCAATAGGTAAACTTCATTTATTGCAATCGTTATCTTGCATCATTTCATTTGCATATTGTATCACATCACAGTTCATTATAATCGGGTCAAAGTCGATTAAAGACAGTTGATCCAGCTCATTGGTCGTTATCTCGGTAGATAGTCTATCTTACCGTTGCGGTATAGTTAGATACATAAGTTAACTAAGAACAAGGCCAATAGACTATGCGCTCATGTTTGTTCTAGATAGTTACGTAATAAATAACGTCTACATAACAAAGAACGCTCAATTATTTGCTTATGAGATTAAAATCATATGTTTATGAAATATTTTATTAACATTGTATATATATTTTATTAATATCCAAATTCATTGATGTTAAGCATATTTTTGAAGCTTATCTTCCGTTTGAATTTTAAAGGCTTTTGATTATATACGATACATATACGGGGTGACTTTTTGAGACAGGACAGTTAGAGCAAGTACCTTAACCATTACAGTTACAGAAAACTTTCGCGACATCGCCCATAAATTTTAAGATCTGCATTCAAAATCTGTGAATAATCACAAAGAAAATACTAACATAACAAAACAAAAAATATACCAATCCAACCTTTTTTCATCTAGGGATCTAAGGACCATTAAGACTTAAAATGCCGGAAATCGCAAAATAAATTCCATACATTTGTACTCAAATCAACACAAAATATTCTTTATTGCCAATTTTATTTCTTCCTACTGTAACTTTTCGAACCAGAAACGAACGTGAGTGTTACTAGTATTAAAAAATATTCAAAAGTCTCACCTCTGAAGCTATATTAGCACCCATTAGAACAGCACAAGGGATCTTGAGGCACCTTGTGATTATATGCGATATTAGGTCAATACCGCCACCTTCAGCAATGTCGAAGCCCTGCCAAATTATTTAATATGATTATCTACAAATACAAATTATTATTGCTCCTACAGTTGCGTATTTTTTATGAACCAATAAAAACACCCATTTAAAGCAAGCGCAATTGAAGCGCAGTTGATAAAAACTATAATTATTTGTTAATGGAATATGGGGACAAAAAAATATATCACTTTATTTTATGATTAAGAGAAAAACTGCACACAATCTTTTTAAATACTATAATAATATAATTTTTTTCTTCTCAACTGTCTTATACATACACATACATGTCCACCCATAATTATTTAGATGTTCTTAAGACCCATATTAAATCTCAACTGTGATTTCTGCGTGATTTTTCTCGGAAACAAAAATAAATTAATAATTTTGACTTGTTGAATAGCGAAGAATAACTCTTGGTATAGAAATAAGTGGCCAACTTTTTGGAAATTTTGCTCATCTTTTTAATTAAACCCAAAATACCAGAGAAAGATTTTCATAAAACGCGCAAAGACACTTTTTTGACACGAAATAAAAGAAATAGAATGATATCTCTTATATAGTCGTAAAGTAAACAGTAGCGTCGAAATTTTGAAATAGCACTGATTAAATATAGAAAAACAATCATATTATAAACCAAAAAACATCAAAAATTGCTTGAAGTTAACTTTAAATTTCTCTTAGCCACAACAATATTATTTAACAAAATTTATGCCAGATTAATGACTATTTCGTAAGGAACAAAGATATTACAATTTTAAAGCATAAATTAATTATATTATTTCAATAAATACGATAAATGTAAACGCATAATCACTACAAAATACGATGCAGCGGCCGTCTGAGCTCAGTACCGCGCGAGCGCTCCTCAATGTTAGATCTGTGTCGCATTACTTCGCGGCATTTTCGATCCAGATACGTTGGAGCGAGCGTTAATAGAGCAGTATAGTGGGACTTCCAACTTTGGTCACGAAGTTCGATTTTTATGGAATTTATATAGCTTGTTGAATTATTTCTAATACACATTTATTTATTATGTTATGTTATTTTCAGCATGGGTCGAAAGACCTCTAGGTATAATTGTATAAGAAATAAGATACGATTAGGTATATTTGTATAAGAAAGTTAAAATATATATTTATATTAAGAAATGCAATTTAAGCAAGGTAATTCTTCTCTCAATATAAAAATTGGAGTGCATATTTGTAATATTAAAATAACCGCTTTTCACTAAATACATTTGTGTGTATACATGGTACATATACAAAAATAATATTTTTTATCTGTCTGTTAGTTCTGGCTAATCTCTGAAACGGCTTGGCCGATTTTGAAGGGACTTTCACTAGAAGTTGACTTACGTAATAAAGATTAACTTAGACTTATGGCTCGATGCAATTCGACCGATATCAAATTTATCGGAGATCCACATATCAAACAACTTTTTCTAAATTCAATATATTTTTAATCCCCGACGCAAAAACGACGCAGTGTCATAAGTTTGACGTGTCTGTGTGTCTGTGTGTCTTTCTGTGGCATCATAGCTCCCGAACGGATGAACCGATTTTGATTTTGTTTTTTTTTTTTCGTTTGAAAGGTGTATTAGTCGGGAGTGTACACTATGTCAAATTTATTTGATGAAAATCAATCCAAGATGGCCGCCGCCACACAATATTGGATTACTTACATATTGTCATGACTCCCTCATTACGGATATCAAATAAAAGGGCTTGAGTAGTAGAATACTATAAACTATGACAAATTTCAAATCAACGATGGTCGCCACCAAAAAGGTTGGATTATTTACATATTTTCTCACGACTCCATTAATACGGATATCAAACAAAAGGACTTGACCATATACTATGACAAAATTTTATATACAAGATGGCCGCCGCCACAAAATGTTGGATTACCTACATATTTTGTCACGACTCCCTCAATACGGATATCAAATAGAATACTATAGGTACACTATGACAAATAACAAATCCAAAATTGGGAAAACTATCAAAATAGCTTGGTTGTAGTTTCATCACAGTATTGTGGACTCGTGACCTTTAACAAGTTGTCGAGAACTCGGAATGCTTCAAAATACCTAATCTCACAGAGTGAGAATTTGTCATATGGCTCTTTAAGTTTATGGAGGACATTTTGCAGGCCGCACCACTAAAGTACAGTGGTTATCATCTGCATTATGTGGCAGTGCTACATCTTTATCAGTTGATGTGAGCATATCCACAATGTATATAAAAGAGCAGCAATTCCCAAAAGGTGGTTCGATGAGCCCCCGGGATCCGTCTTTAGTCAGAGAGTTAAGTAAAACATTAGTAGATAATGACATATAACTAGATTTAATTACGATTTTCCTTAAACCTAGGTTCCGCTAAAAAATATTGTCAAGTAGGGTTTTGAGACCAAAAAAGTTTGGAATCCTTGGTATAAAGCAATAGTCTTAAACTTTCTCTCTACTCCAGTACCAATTTCTCTAACACATAACAAACTATTTGAAACAAACGGTCATTTGAGGTACGACATGAACATTACTTTAAGTAGATAACTTTTGAATTAAAATAGAAATTCGCCAGTACTGTTAGGGACATAGGTAGCTCAATGGTTAGATCAGTCGCCTGGATTGTGAAAGGTTGAGGAGGCTCGTCTCGGAGTGCCGGGGACTGGTAGATTTAAGCATTTTTCATTAAAGATATACAGAAATGTAGCATTGTGAATAATGATGGCAATAATAATCAAATATAATAATTTGTTCTTTATGATTTTAATAATGTAATCATATCATATAAAGAACAAAAGGGATTTTCGCTTCACTTTCATTCTGAGTTATATAACTTACCTTAATCAAGGAAAGAGCAGCTGCTGTAGGCTTAATTTTCCCTAGTAATGTGGAGCAAATTGTCCGAACAAACTGGTGAGGCACAACAAATATTAGGAGATCTGTATCTTTAGCAGCTTCCACTACATCTGGCACAGCAATCTAGTCAAAAATTACATATCATCAAATTTTCTTAGATTTTTTGTCTAAATATTATAAACATTGGCATCAATTCAACAATCAGGACTATTATCAATTTATCTGAAAGTAAAGAGAGGCAAGAAAGTTTTGTTTATTACTATATGCAATTATGATAGTAACCCTGAGGAGCATGCAGTTTGGCATTGGCAATAACACAAATCTATTAGGGAAGTAAGATTAAAATAGAATCTACACAAAGGTATGCCAATAACTTGATGTATAGATAGATAATAAGTTAAATTAGGTAATTTTCATAGAAAAGCTTAATATGGCATTAAATTATATCTGAATTAATTACAACTAGTGCAAGTATATACCAGATCATATCTAATTATATTCTCAAAATAGATACAAACATAATATTATATAGCATATCCTACAATTGAAAGATAAAAATAAAAGACAATATGCCAAATAGACACAGGCTTAAACATAGAAGAGCCGAATGAAAAAAAAAATTAATTGAATTCTCCTTCCATTAACCAATTCCCAATTTCAGATTACAATAATAGGATTTAATCCTATCGCTTAATTCTGTTTCCCTACCTTATCTTTGAACCATGGCTAATACCCACATTGAAGGGATCCATAACTTTCCAAAAGAAACAGTAGTGAAACATACCAAGTCCCTAAACAATATTTTATTACAAAACAAACGGAAAAAAATCATGTATCTGCATTTATAGAGTACCTTTTGATCAACTGCACATGTTTAACACAATTTACAAACCCGTTTTAGAAATTAACCCATGTTCTAGTAATTAAATAACTATTTTACTCACCACATTTTCTGGCAATTTATGTCCAGGTAAATATTTTACATTCTCGTGTGTCTCATTTATTATTTCTGTTAACTTCTTTCCTTCAATAATCTCTTCATACACCCACATAGTCACACGATCCTCAAAATTTGGTAGTCTGGCAGCATTTTTACCCACAATTTTAGCTATTGCTGATCCCCTAAAAAAATAGAAATATGCAGTTCCAAAAAGGCGCAACCGAAAAGTTTTTTAAACTATAAACGTTATGTCATCAGCGGTCTTAAATGAAACTGTAAAGTAAGCATCTATAATTTGATGATATGTAAATAATTTAAGAAATCCATAATCAGAAATATAAAAAGTATTCTTACCAATTACCAGAACCAATAATGCAAACTTTATTTTTCAACTGTTTTTCTGCCATCGCTGCACAGAAAAACACGATATTTTAGATATGAAATTATATGATGAACACACGAGTGGCACTCACAGATTGGCACTTCAATACTTCAATTTTCCTCTATGAACATGAATGAATGACAGACAGGCAATGATGTTGTCATGCTTAGGTACTCTATTTCCCTTCAAAACGCATAAGACATGCTTAGGTAGTGGGGCATCCGATAAGGAAATTCGTGTAGTTATTCGATACTTTTTCATCGATACCAAGTAAAAATAGATTATTACGATATTGTACTCAGTATTCAAATCAAAGTATGCACTCGGTCTGATTTGATTGATACCAAATCAATCGAATCAGACCGATCATATTTAACATGTTTGAAAGCTTCTGTCAGAATTAAAGAGTCTCTCACTCGGTTATCGCTGAAGCAATCTATTAATCACATGAGATGTGTCTTGTGCCAGACGAGCGAAATCTCATTAGAATGTAGTTTTAATAAGAAACCCATTTTCAGAATAAGATGATATGAAAGAACAATGGCCATCTGCCTAACATGCTTGGACTAGTAAAATCGAATAAAACGCAACTTGATGAAACATATGTTATTATGTTTGCCTATGCAACTAGAACAAAGAAAGACATTAAATATATTTTTAAAAGCTGGGAGTATCGAGTAATTGTGTAATATGTTTTTGAGGTTATGTCGTATTATTAAAACTGTAGCATTTTGAGTTAGAGGTATTACATTTGAAATATGTCACGTCACACGTCAGATAATGCCTAATCGTAGTCCTAGAAGGGCATACTTTCACATAATACTTCAAACTTGCTCCATATCTGACATATTATTTTTATTGACAGTAGAAATAAAATCATTTTTTGTGAACCAATGAACATCAAAAAAAATTTAATAGAATTTTTAAGATTGCTCTCAATAACTCTACTGTTCTATCTTACACTATAACTTATATAAAGTAGTAGTGAAAATACTAATTTCAAAAGGATATAGCAAAACAACATGTTGATTTTTCTTTTCTTTATTACAACTCTAATGAATACCTCATTACGGAATGCTGCATGAGCAGCTACATTCTGTTCGTGTCTGGCCCATCCAAGATACCAAACTATGGTCATTATATGAGCACAGCATCCCAGTGTACATCGACCAATAAGACAATTACAGCAGTGTTCTCTTATGCAAACTAACCCGGATGTGTCATTATTTTTTTAAATGTACACATAATATTGTTTCCTCCCAATGTCTTGACGTAATTCTACCCCTTATAATTAGGACTTTATTTATATTTAAGTCTAATTCTAATAAATCCAGAGAATCCGGTATTTCTCTCCAGACCTCAATTCTATACTGCCCATGGAACATACAAAACAGACCGTTTTGTACACATACTTGTCTAAAAAAGGGAGTTCGCAATCAATTGAATACTGTAATATCGATTCTTATGAATATTCATTTGTTTTTAATTTCATTATAAATAAACTACTTTCCTCTAAATAACATCTAATTATATAAGTAATCTAATCTAAGTTTTATTATTTTCACGGATTTATATGGTTAGTAAATAATATAAGATTTGTATCAAATTCGATTAGTCAGAAATAAAATCGATCTTGTTCTTTGAAAAGAGAGGGACTTCTCTAGGAATACATTATTAATAAGATGCGTTCAAAAATAACATAACTTAAACTGCGTTCTAAAACATAAAGACATATTTTAGAGAGGATTATCTTTCTTTTCCCAGCTTTTAAAAATAAATTGTTGGTATATAATAATTACATTCAACTTATACTACATTTTGGTGATAGTTCCATCTTGGTACAAGAACTTTCTTTTTCGTAGTCCATTTTGACCATTGTTCTTTCATCAGTTTCAACCTGCTGTGATTGTGAATCATACCTCATTTTATACACAATCCTATTAATATTATTAATATAAAAGTTTATTTATTTGGATGTTTGTCCATCAATCAGGCCGTAACTACTGAACGGATTTTAATGAAATTTGATATACAGATAGAGTATTAGGTAACTTAAATTATAGGATACTTTTTATCCCACAAAACATTTCCCTAAGGACCACATGGGCGAGCCGCTGGCGAAACAATCAATTATAATTTTTCAAGTTTAAATGATAGTGTCATATAAGATAGAACTTGAACCCACGACGTTACGTCACTAGATAGCAGCACAAGTTGTACGATAGACCAAAGAGAATAGAATTAACAGTTGATATGGATCTGATAACTCGGATTAATATCGAGTTGAAATTCAATTAGTTCAAGTAACGCAAACGCAACTCAATTAATACTAATGAATCTTTGACTAAATTTACTTTATGTTTGTATAAAGGAAAATGGAAACTAACTTAATGGAAGTGAGCATAGAGAAGGTTTTTAAAATTAATAGAAATCAATCAAATTAATGTTGTAAAATAATTAAATATAATTAATTTTTATTATAATAATTGATTAACAAAAGTTCTGAAAACAACAACAACTAGGTAAGAAAGATTTGTCATCTAGTTATTTGAACTTACAGCAACAAAACTACATCAAATCTCGATATTGTTTTTATTTTATGAGTGGTAAATGAATCAATAGAGTTTATTAATCAGTAATAAAGGTCATAAAAAATGATAACTAAAATAAAGAATCCATTTATTATCAATAAAATTATTCGATATGTATCAAATTTACTAGGTATTCGTACAAAATAACATGAATTCTGACTAGAATGACGTTTGTGCAAAGTACAACGTGCAAATAAGTCGTTCTTTTGAAATCGATTTTATTTTTACTAAGAGCAGTTATAAAATCGTATTTTCATAATTAAATTATCATAATAAAAATACCACAACCAACAAGAAACGAACAGCAAGGTTATTACCAGTGGTCGGAATTAGGTAGAGTTATTCATGTACTTACACTGATTTTATACAGCGAAAAAATATAGTGGATATGCCTCAAATCCCGAGATTAATTTTAAAGAGCAGAAAAAATCCCGTGATTTTTTAAATAAAAAGTTATTTACTTTTACACAATTTAAACTACTGCACGCACGTAGTTGCCAAACTTACATCAATGACATTGGATGTCCAAAGTTGCAAAATACCAATACGCGCGATGTAGCCACATTTGTAGTTCGCACAACATAGCTTGTGAAAACAAAAGAATACAATAGCGCAAATGCAGAGCACTCCCCACTTAACGTAATGTACTAGATTGTGCCTCTTTCTACCGCATTCAAACTATCTATTAGCAATGAATCGGTTTACTCATTCACTCAGCTCATTCGCTTACCTCGGTTCGTCGAATGCGCTCACTTGTTTCCTATTGTGTTTTGTGTAGTCAATCCTGTTTGACCCTGGCTCGTTTACTGGATTCTGGACTCTACTTAATACGACTATTTCGGCACGCATTAACGGACTTTGATTTGGCCTTACTGTATTGGATAATTGGATCTTTGAAATTGGTGATATACTTGGTAAGTTTCTTGTTCATATTTTTATTAAATTTCCTTTAAAATAGATTTTCCCTATGTAGAACGTTTTCTTGTATTGTTATCAAAATCGGTATTGTTTAACTTAAGATGTTCTTTGATATAATCACAATAAAGTAACAATGATTTCAAATGCTACTGAAGAAGCTTAACATACGGGACTCATTTTTTTAATTGATTAGGAGTTAGATTTTCTGGTAATCTTTTATTGATTTTCTTTTTTAGCTTTAAACTTTAGTATAAAACAAAGTTCGCTTCCCGCCGTCTGTCTATCTGTATGAATTTATCAGTGGCGTAGCTAGGTATCTAGGCAAATAAAAAAATGGGGCCCACTGCTATCAAAACTGGTAAGGTTTTTTGAAGTAAAATCATTAAATATACAAATACTTTAAAAATGCTGAACAACTTTATCATCAGCTCTTTTTCGTGCATAGGCAGGTAATAAAACTATTAAACACTAACAACATAAATTACAATTATTTTTATACTTGGTGTAGGAATTGGGCAATAAAACGAAATAGAAAAGATTCAAGGGTTTATTATATATTTATTTAATCATAGATAGTTGCACCAGTTTACTGTTATTTAACCTATCGCCATGCAAGCTATTTACAAAAATTATCAATAGAAATATTTGATCCAGAAGTACTTGCAGAAGGCTGACTAAAAAACTTGTCAATTTTGGGCAATTTTTGTTTACTTTCTCCTCTTTCTTGGCGTTGTTTGCGTTTAAATGCACCACCGGGTTTTCTTTTTTTTGTTCATAATATTAGTTTTCTAATTTATTTATGCAATATTTATATAAGATTGTACTCAAGAAGATACTCACTGTTCACTGACATCGTTACAAGTAAAAGGAAAGCGAAACGTGAATGAATGAAAATGATACGATACAAGGCGTCGTTGGGGAATCCCCGGCAAACACTTAATCGCCGTACATTTGACGGTTTGACGGACTACAATCAAATATCAATTTTATTTTTATTTGTATGGACCAGTACAAAAAATTTATTGACATACGATTACTTACTCCTGATACAATAACTTTTTAACCATTCTCGAAAAAAATCTTGTCTCGAAGTTCACAATCGCGAATCACAAAAACGCATATCGATAAATAATAATATACAGATATTGATTTCCAATAAATTGATGAAAACATTAATAACACTGTCAACCCACACAAATAATTTACGGGAATTCCCTTTTTAACTGACTGCGCGACGCAAAGGAGGGTACCTAATTATAACTTTGGAATTACTCACAACTGAGTTTCCATGATTAAACTCGAGTTGTCACCTGTCATTTTTATTTTGAAGATGGGGAAATTTTCAAAAGTTGAGTTCGATTGAGATTTTCTGGTAAAGATTCGAGGGCCCCCTGAGCTTGAGGGCCCCGGGGCAACGCCCCGCCTAGCCCCTTAGTAGCTACGCCACTGGAATTTATGCACGCTTTTTGCTTTTTTTTTATGCAAGATCTTTTAAACTTCGCAACTGTTGTGCCCTATCTCTCACATACATACAAACACATTCATACGGTTTTCTAAAATTTATAATTTTTTTGCTCTAGATTAAAAGTATTATCATGGCG